GAGAGAGAGAACTGGCCCTGTGTAAGCTAGTGCCACCTCAAAGAGACTCATTCTCTGGAACTAAGGGTCACTCTTTAGAATTAATCAACTCTGGGAATGGGCTGAACTCCTTGGCGCACATTCTCATTCTGTTTGTGAATCCTGGCAGGGTGCCCATCTTGCTCTGCTTACTGTGAGGATCACACCGGTTAGGAGGGCGCTGCCCGAGTGTCTTGCTGCCATGCACAGTGCTAGGGCAGAGAGTCAAGCTGGTCTCAAATTTTGTGGTTGGACTTTTTCGATCCTCTCTACCATGCTGACCAGAGGTTTTGTTTTTCCATCAGTGATAATAACTCATCACCCGGGAATTTTATTTGCTATTTCAGAGTCCTTCTCCATCCATCCTCAGCCCAGCCCTCTCTCTCTTTCTCATGGAGGCTTTTCTCTCTCCGCAATGAGCTGCTGGCTATTTGTCCGTAACAAAACATATTTTATGTCCCTAAAAGTGGCTCCTTATGCGCTTCATAAAATCATCACTCCATTTAAGGCTTATAGGAGAAAAGCCATGCAGATACACCAGGAATCCACTCACTGCTTTCAGAGACCACCGGAGTTTGTGGCTAAGTCACAGGCTAGAAAGGCCCATGCCGGTCTGCATGAAGTACAGGCTCTTTCTTGGTTCAGGCAGTGGGTGCTCTGAGCAGTAGGGACCATTGCTCACACAACCGAATCCTTTGTGGCAGGCACTTTGCCAGGTACCATCAGGACATCATGTTGTGGGTCTCACCAGTGCTTTCCAGGCCATGGTGCCAGGCAAGCAGGCACTTCCTGCAAGGTTTGGTTTCTTCCCACCCTTTAAACATGCCATGTGCGGTGGTGAACATTACCCTTCCCCCTTCTTCCGTTGTTTGAGAATTACTAAGCTGCTTCCTGTGACCAGAGAAACTTTTTATGGTTTAAATATGTATGTGTTGATATTAAACATCATCATACAATAATACCACAGGAGCACAGATTCTAAATGTGAAAGTGACCTCTGATCATGCACCTAACCTCTCATGGACAGGTGAGGAAAAGGTTCAAGTTGCTCCTGTGCTGAGGGCCCAGCTCTCTGCAAAGCCCTTTTCCAGGACATTGTGTTGTGCCACACACTGGCTACCTCCTTTTTCTCGGAGTAACTTGGCTGCAAGATACCAAAACTGGTCCCAGTTTCCCCTAGGACCTAGAAGTGGAAGGCTGGCAGATGCGTGCATTGAGATGCATGGCTGCTTCCTCCTACCCTTGGCCCATAAAGAGCTGGAGAGCTGAAGCTGACCACTTCAGGCTGCACAAAAGAAAAATCCCTGCAATCCTAGAACGCTAGAACTGAGAGCATCCTTGGAGCCTTAGGAGCTTGATGGAATGCAGAACTGAGTCCTTCCAAGACCTGAGGAATTGGATCTGCATTCTGACAAGATGCTCAGGTGTCCACATGCACGGTATGGTCTGAGGGGCACTGCTAGAGACCCATGGACTGAGTGCAGCAGGGGAAGAACCAGGGTCTCTAGATGTGTTGCAATGGGAGTAGTTATAATTTGCTGAGCTCACAATCCACTGCACCTGTGGTACAATATCAAAAAGTGTGGGAGAAGGGCAACAGAACAGGAATCCAGGGACCAGCTACCAGTGGCTACATCTCCCCTGCTTTGAACCAGGCAGTATGTGCTTTGAATATCCAGAAGGTAGACTCTTTGGAGTAAAGTTAGCTTCCTGTCTAACATATTGTGCAGCTTTGTTACTGTCAGTTTACTCACTCATTCAGAATCTCAAGGATTGTGTACTGCTGAGAAATAACCTTTAGTAACTCATAAACAAGCACAGCTTTGCACCGAACTCGGTCCTGAGGAAGTCCCTTAAGGTGGTGTGTCTTCTCTGAGGCAGCTTGCGGCAGAACAGTGGGATGGGAGTTATGTACAGTGTCAAGGAACAGCAGTCTGCACTCAGAAACTAGCTTAATTCCATCCCCAGAACCAATGAAAAAGAAAAAGAAAAAGAAAAGAAAGAAATTATCCTTTTGCTTCCTCATTTGGTCCAATCCAGGCCTCTTGGCTACTTTTGACTTAGTCTCTTTAGAATGTTAATGCAGAAGTCTTGCTATCATGGTCACTTTAGGTGAGGAGTCGGGCTGCATGTGACCTGAAAGTTAAATCACACAGGGTGTGGAAATATTCTGTCATCTCAGAGGAAACACTAGAGGTATTTCCAAGAGCCTGAGAATCATGTGGCAGAAAACAGCTGCAACTCTTCTCCACAGCACCCACAAGTTACCTGACTTCTGTTTGTGATGCTAATGTCCCTAAAGAATCATGTATTATCAAAGCAACAATTTAGAGCCCTTGACTGCAGATAACAGACTCCATATTGCCTCCAGGAAATTCAGAATTTTTAGAAATAAATGGTGAGAGCAGTTGATAAGCTTCAAAACAACAAAAACAAAAACAAACATTGTTTTGGTGTTGTTTACATAACTGACAAGGGCCTGTGGTTTATTTTCTCTACAGACTATAAAAGATGTGCGAGGCTTCTTACCCGGCTGGCCTTCAGTGCCGAGTGCACGGAGGGGTAAGGTAAGCCCCTGCAGTTGGGTGGGCCACACAGCAAGGTCAGAACCCAGGTGAGATGTGAAGAACTCACAGGAGTCTAGAATCATTCTTTGGCTCAGGTAGGCCTCCTCTGAGTCAGCCTCACACATATTCAGAATATCTGAAAATGCTGGCCCTGATGAAAAGCGCCCCCTGCTGGGAGAATGCAGAGCCAGCCAGCATTATCCGAGGCGCTTGGACCACAGTTCCACAGCCTGCTGATCTCAGTCCAGAGCACTTGACCTAGGACCGTTCTTAAAATCTAGGACCATTCTTAAAATCATGCTTCAGTTCCTCAGTGTGACTCCTAAGTGAGGCACAGTGCTTCTTCCTGGGTCAAATCCCAAAAGACCCAGAGCAGCCAAGATGCATTTAGTAACCCACCCTAGAGAACATGGCTCACTGCTGCTGTCCAGCGACACCAGAGAATTATATTGTGCATCAGCCCAGGGAATACTAAAATGTAGAATTAGAAGTGCCAGCTTTACTGAATATGGTACAAAGTCAGGGACTGTCTGTATGTGACTAAGCATGCTCTTGCATGTTTTATAACGTATCTGGTAAAGGTGTGGAGTCTTCTCGCTTTACCCATAAGCGTAAATAGAACAGCTATCCTCTTTGAAGGGTTCCGTGTCTTCTCAGACTTTAGCTGCAAAACAGTAAATGCATTATTCAGAGTTGTGTGCTTCTGTGTTGTCCACTGAAGAGATGACAGGTAGCAAGCAGCTGGGGATGGCTGGCATTCTGGCTTTATGACCCAGCCTGAAGGACTCGGCCACTTTAGACAGCCTGGCAAAGCTGCAATTCCATCCATTCTTGCTTCCTGGATGTCTTGGGTGTGCCAGGCACGTTAGAGGTGGGCATACCACAACTAAGACCGGTTTTGTGTCCACAAATGGCTGTTCCCAGAAAATGTCCAGCTGTCCAGAAAGCACTAATAAAAGGGGGTGTTGTACTCTCCTATGGCACCTCTCCTGTCTCATAAAGAATGGAGGGTGGTGCTTTTCCACCCAGATGCACTCGGTGCTTGGGACTGGCAGCCCTGAACTGTCTGGCAGGTCTTGCAGGTGCTGCACTCTGATTTTTTCCTGTCAGGAGCAAGTGCCACTAAAGATGGGGGTGGGCTGAGGCATGAGCGGGCAGTGCAGGGTCACACAGGCTCCCAGGCTGTTTTATCTGGGGGAAGCAAAGGGATTTTAATGCCAGTCAGAGCCAGGTGTGCACTCCTGCTCCCTTCTTGTGCTGACTCTGCAGTTCTTTTTTCACGCACCTCCTGTGACACCGGGAACTTGACTTTCCCTTTGAACCCAGGGCCAGTGTGTGTTCTTGTAAGCCTCCCAAGACAGTGGGATCGGGGAGGTAGAGTGTTGTTACCTACCCACAGGTTTAGAGCTAGGCCACCCCTATCCTGCACACTGCCCAAGTGCATCTTGGGACTTGGAAAAGTCTGCATCTCTTCACAACTGGGGAAGGCAGAGGCCCTGCCACCTGCCCATGAGCCACCTTTTCACAGGCCTGTGCTCCTGCAGGTATCCAGCCAGAGCCAAGTCTGTGTTAGGGGGACTCATTTGGGGGCTCAGTTCTGTGTCAGGTGGCGTACTCAGAGGGAAGTGGAAAGAGAAAGCAGCCCTGCCTGTCAGGCAGATGTGGCCAGCACAGCCCTCTCCCACCTTGAACTGCCGGTCACACCTGACAGGGGGAGATGGCAGCATGTCCTCACAGCTCCCACACCCAAAGGCCATCCGCTTAGTCACAGCTGACACAACTATCACAGAGTTCACTTTGGACAAGAAATGGGTAAAGTTTAAAACTAATATTCCTGTTAATGACAATAGTTTCATAACTCTTACAAAACTCTGTAACCTAACTCTTAACATAACTCAGAACTCATAACATTACTCTATGTTTTAAAGATTTAATTCTTCCAATTCTAAAGGTTTTAAACCACAAAAGCACTGTTAGCCAGTGGGTGACCAGGGCAGACACAGGCCGGGTTTCTCTGCACCTTGCAGGTTGGCTCGAAACACGTTCTTCAGGAGCAGAGAGCATGTGACTGCATCCGCCCTGGGACAGTGTGCTGGGCCCCCCCAGGCACAGGTTCTGGTGGCCAATAAAGGGCCATGCCCTGACAGTGCTGTGCCCAGTACCCTGTTCTGACTCCAGCTGATAGGGTCAGATTCCTCCCCAGTTCCAGCCCAGGGCCCTTTAGGGCCAAAAGCAGGGAGCAAATACATGAGCACCCCCTCTCTGACCATGCCCTCCTCAGAACACAGAGAAAGGTGACAAACGTTCCCCAATGTCCTACTTCCGGGTCAATTAAATGAAATCCTGAGCTCCAGGGTCTTTTCAATAAAGTATAGTTTTGAGTAGTAGGTACCTGAGCAGCTGGTTTCGCTTGCTGGGTACAGCCAAGTAACCTTGAAGTAAGCCTTATTTTAAAAATAAAGTTATTAGTATTCAGATGTGGGGTAGAAACAGTGGTGTTTAATCCTGACTCAACAAACCATCAGCTTTGCTGACCCCTGTGCACTTGCAGGTGAAAGGCCTGCCAGCTGCTTCCCAACTGTCCTGCATGCCTGAGGACGCTGACCACACACAGGACTGAGCACTGCCTCAGCCATTCTTCCACGAGCATTTGCACATAAGCAAGTCGTCTGCACGCCTTGACATAGCCAACGTGTACCAGCTGCAGAACTATTATTTTCCCACATCGGCTAGACTCTACTTCCTGCAACACAGAGAAATACACATATACAGAAACTGCTACTTAGCTGAATGCATAGCTTTTGTAGGATGGATGCTCCAGTGTGAGCAGTGCTTTAACATGCATGCATTTGCTTTCAGCTGTGAAGGAGAATCACACCAGGAACCCTGAGAAGTGCCTTGGATCACCGGGAGACAGGACTCTCTTCACGCCCATTCCCTGGGGACAGAGATTTATTTTTGCAGACAGACACCTCCAAAATTCCTTTGAATTTGTATGTTGTTGACACTGTTTGCAGATAAATATTCAATGAGCATACCTGGCAGTGACCCTTGTCATCCTTTATTTTAAAAAACTGCGAACAGGCCACATTTGATGTATAGTGCTATAAAACAGGAGTACTTGATTTTCCTGATTAGGTAAAATCACAAAATATTCCTTTAGAAGCACAGGCAGAACCTTAAAACTATTATTTTTATATATAGAATATGATATGATTTGATATTCTGTATTACTTTTACAATTAAACTCCTAGGGTATTATGTGGAACTGCACGAAAATTTTAAAAGAAAAAATTCATTCATATTTTGGAGACAGTAGAGTAGCAATCAGTGAATATAGCCTTCACATAGCTATTGTGTAATATGTAAATACTGTAAGTAAGTACGAATAGTGAATGAAGTGTCTCAGCAGCACAAGCACCTGCCTGGCAAGCACAAGGTCCTGAGTTTAATTCCCGGTACCAAAAAAAAAAAAAAAAAAATAAAAAAAAAAAAAAAAAAAAAAGAATCAGAATGACTCTTTGCCTCTCCAACAAGCGCATCATTGGGAATTCATGATTTATACACCTACTAAGAGACTGTCACACTGGCAGAATGTCACAGAAATTAAAAGACATAAAAATGAAACTCCAAGGCCAGTAAGAATCCCTGAAAGGGACAATTAACATTTCTTAAAGTAGAGGTTATGTTTTAGTGACACAATCTCTTGAAATAGGTTGGCCTAATTTGGTAGTAAATATCCTAAGTAAGGTTGAATCTGCTAATTCCCACATTATAAACAAACCAAACCAAGAAGAACCTCAGGGTTTCTAAGGAGTCCAAGATATTTACGGGTGGATATATTTTAAACACATCCAACAGGATCTAACCTAAAGGGGAAGGGGAAGTCAGCCAGGCAGTAGTTTCTGTTCATACAGCCCAGGTAAGCAATGGTAAGGACAAAGTGCTCACGAGCCCTGTAATTTGTCTGAAGGTCTGTACTTAAGATATATACATAAACATCAGAGAAAAATGAGAGACATTTAGTTCTAAACATCAAGGACAGAAGAGTAAGCAATTTCCTGGTCTTGAGCTATAAGGCAGTTGATGAACAATGAAGCCAGGGGTACTCTTGTTTATCCTGCTTCCTAGTCATTTGAGCTTTTCTTCCCAGTCCTTACCTGTGGAGATGCCATCGCCCTTTCCCCAGTCCAACCTCCTAAGTTTTCTGTGAGGCCCAGTAACTCCACCAGGAGCAGAGCGGTCTTGCTGAGGATACCATGGGCCTTCTGAGGAAGGAATGCACTGCAACAGCGGCTGTGTCCCCTGGGTATTAAGAACCACCTGCCCCTGCTCTCCTTCAGGGCACAGGGACCTGGCTAGGGAGGTGCACATCCTTGCTTCTCTCAGCTCTTCAGTTCTGCTGGGAAATGAGCCACTCAGTCTTTGGACGAGGACAGAGTTTTTTTTTGACTCAAAGTCCTCCAGGGATTAGAGGTCACCGCGCTGAATGGAGGACCTTCATGCGGCAGCCATGGGCTGCTTTGCACCATTTTATTTTTTAATACTGAGAGTAAACAGGGATACAACCCCACAGACCATTTGAAAGGGACAAAAGGCAATGTTCTCAAATGTTTATCAGACAGTAAGAAAGGAGGAAGACACTGGATTGTACTTTTATAACATCCCAGTTTATTTTGAAAGCCATCTTTTCTGATATCCATTTGAATTTGAGAATGAAATTACCTATATTTGCCTATAACTTTCTTATTAACAAATCAATATTTACGGATACAAATGTAATAAAACTTTCAACTTTTTAAGTTACTTTTTTCATACCTAAGCCAATATGTATTTGACATCTAGATTACATGTGCATATAAAACAGACATACCCCTCAACTGCTCATAAGTTACCTGCTTACAAGCGTTGTTCTCTTTGGACAGAACTAAATTTTTAAAGGACAGTGGTTTAAGTGGCAGCAGATAAGCAGACCTCCTCATAAACTAGACAAAACCAACAGCTACTAAACCAACAATTCTACTAACATCTCTTTCCTATCTTAAATATAGGAAGTGTGATCAAAATACAGTGAATGCTTAAAGAAAAAATTACAGTAAGACATACTTCCATGAATCCCCTCCAAAATACTCCACAGCTTCAAACACTCTTATCCCAAAGTTCTTGCCCCTTTCTGAAGCAGTTCTGCAAATCTCTTTCATGTCTTTACAAAGTGTGATCAAAGCTACAGTGAACGCTGCTGCCAAGTACCATCCAATGGAAAGGCAGCTCCTAAAAACATGAGTGTGTCCTTATTTACCTGATCTGGTACTGTGTGACCTCTGGCTCATCCTAAAGTCAAAATGACAATGAAAGGGCAATGTTTTCAATGAATTCGGGGCATCAAGGCAGCCAGGACAGCTCAAGTGAAGACATGCAGGAAAGAGGACTCTACAGCTGCTGCAGAAAGTGGCAAGAACAATGGGATAAGTGTGTCCAAAGCAAGGAGAAGATTTTGAGAGGAATTCATGGTAATATGTCCTTTACTGTAATTTTTTTTTAAAGTTTAGACATTCACTGCATTATTTGATCACATGCATACAAATGTGCACAATGAATGTGCATGAGCTAAAACACTGTTACTGTCGGGGAAGAGATGCTGCGGATGGGCTGCTGTAACTCTGGTAGGGACCCAGGTGGAGAGGTACACAGGTGAGCAGAGGGCACCATCCACATACTCACTTGAGGTAGTAGAGACTGTCTAGGTCCTCCTGGGCTAAGAGGTTGATCTGGGCCTTTGGGTCATTCTTGCTCCATTGTGCTGTCTTGCTGTTCTATATTTGCTTATTTCACTGTTCTATAAGTAGGGTGAAGTGGGATGTTCAACTAGTCTAAGAAAACGTACTATACCCCTGAAACATCAAATCAAGCATATTTATTTACTCTTCTGCAATACAGCAGATCTGCATCTACAATTATTTTTAACACAGGAAACGGTAAGTCCTATGGAGAAACAGGTGGGGCCTCGGGCTTGGGCACAGGAGAGGGCGAAGCTGGGTGGGACGAGTGTGGTCTAGCGGTGGGGCCTGGCCAGCCCTAGCAGGCCTTCTCCAAGAAGGCTTTGCAACACCGGACACATTGCTGGTACACCAGCTCAAAGTCGGACTCACTCCCCTGAAAGGACAGGAAAAAGAAGGCTAAGAGACCTTCACCTGTCATTTAATACATCGGATACACACCTGCTGCCTTTCCATTGGCCCCCACTGTGAGCTGTACTTACATAATAGGGATCTTCAATGATGAGCTGTTTTTGTGGATCATAGCTCCCAAGTAGTTCAATTTTAGCTTTGCAGTTCTTAACTTGATTACTTTTTCTATTCAAATCTCTGAAAAATCGAAACATGAACTTCGTTTTCTGATCTACAGTTTCAAGTTAAACAGGGACAGCTGCTAGGGGTTTATGAAATATCCATATCAAAATCCAACGAAAGTGACCTGATTCCAAATGAAAGAGAAGACTCTGCAGAGCCACAGGACCCTTCACGTGGCTGTGTACCACAGCTCTGTCTCAAGCAAGAGCGCACACAGCGGCAACACTAATTGTCACACAAAACGTGATGTTAACTCAGATGGTAACTAGGACTTCTGCTGCGAAGTACACTTAGAGACAAGCTATCAAAAAGATCCTGCTTCAGAGACAAACAAGCTGACAGGAACTGGGAAAGCATGTGAACTAAGCCCTGAGACAAAGGGCCATGGTTTCTTCCTAGCCTCTGTGCTGACACATTTACTGCAGCAATGCCGCTACTTAGCTTCCTTCTTTCGCTCCTCACACCTCTGCCCAGGCTGAAACCTCAGCTCCCTCTCACACTGCTGTCAAAGGCAAAGATTCACTTGGATCACCCTCCAGTATCTGAGGTTCCCACCGGTCTGTGATGTGTCCGGCAGGAACCAGAGGTGCAGCCAAGAGCACCGTGGCACAAGGTCCCAGCGTGGGAAACGGCAGGGAGCCACCCAGCCTATGGACAGTCAGCCTAGGCTGCAGGCAGCAGAACTTGGGCCCCTGCAGCAGGGAGGAGCTTCTGGCAGAGGCACAGGTGTGCAGACACCAAGGAAACCCAGCTCAGCCAGTGCACAGGGAAACACTGCTCCCTCAGTGCTAGTGAGGGTGTTAAGTCCACAACCAGATATGTTTATACCAACAAGCTCCGGTACAAGTGAGAATAACGAGTATGTGACAAATCAGAAAAAAAAAAAGAATGCATTTAATGACAGGCCTTATTCACAAATATGCAAAACTATCACAACTGTGTCTGTTTACTCCTAGGAGTGATTAGCAATACAGATAATTAAAGACAGTGTGGGCTCTATGAATTAGAAGTGATGAAGGTTAATAAATGCCATGGCTACACTGAATCAAGTCCCAGCAGGGCATGAACACCAGTGGTGTGGGTGGGGTGGCCAATCAAGGCTGGGAGGCAGTGAAGCCCAAGGGGTGGGGCCTGGGCAGGAAGGGTAGGCAGGCGGTGCAGGCCCAGAGTCAGGAGCTTGGACTCCGATGCCCTCCCACACTGTGAACCTAAGGGGGTCACTTTCGCTTGTTCATCCTGTCTCCTCCCTGATAATACATAAACCTACTGAACAAGAGCCATGGCTGGTCACTGCCATATGACACCCAGCTCACCAGTTTTTCACAAACGTAACTGGAATAAGCAGCCCTCTATTTTACACCCTCACATGGGCTGGAGGCAGTGTTCATGGAGGAACAAGCTGAGAAACAACAAAACACCCCACGTTCAGGAATTGTGAGAGCAGTAAGGAAGTTACTTGTCCAAATCCACACAGCTCCTAGACTACAGATAACAGCCCCCGCCACAGCCCCCAGTCAGGTGACTGCCTTCCTTCTGGAAAGGGCGTCTCTGCATAAACAGAGCCATGAAACCACTCTAGATTATTCTCTGAACTCCAGCCCCGCTGAACAGTTCTGCACACTGGATCCACCATCACCATGCTGGTCAGCACACAGCCTGCCCTGTGACCAGGCTGAGGAGGGACAGAAGTGACTCTCAAGAGTGATTACCTCAGATTGCTTTCGTCCATACATAGTATGTAGTCAAATGTTGCGAAGTCCTCTTTGGTGACCTAAAATTGAATGAGAAGTCAAAATATAGTGTTTGTACTATACATGCTTAGAGGATCAAGAGTAGCAGTAGGAAAAAAAAAATCTCCATTATATTTAAGTCTGTTACTAAGTATTTAACTAAATAATATATTACATATAGGTACTTTTCAGTTAAAATACAGTCAACTTATTTCCCAAACTACAATGCAAAGAAATTCTGTATCATAAGATTGATAAAATAAGGCAACCAGTGGACACAAAGTCTATTCTCAGCTGCTGTCTCTTCAGTAGGAAATGCACTCTTTCCTCCCCTCCTGCACTTCTCATCTATGAGACCGACTGGCCCAGGGCCTGCCACCGGCACCAGCCTCAGCGGCAGGTTGGAGCAGCTGCCCATGAGTGCAGAAGGCAGAGGAGACGCCAGGCTTAGGCAGAGAGAGGAAGGTGGCCAGAGAAGGCTCCCAAGGAGCAACCAGGACAGTAAGTGAATCCCTCGCTCTTCTTTACTCTGACTGAACACCATACCTCACTGACAAGATGGGGCCACACAGGACTTTTCCTGATTCTAAAATGAAAACTTGCTATTTTCTAACACTGTAATTTAGAAATGTGAGCCTATTTTAAATATGATTGAAAATATTTTTAAGTTTTGACTATGGTAAATGAGATACTAAGAGAAAATAAAAGATCATGACCATACTGCAGAGTAAAGGAGAAATAAATTCAATAATAATCTTCCTCACTGAAAAATCCTCTAGAATACTGTACAATGACTCTACATAGGAGACATTGAAAACCTGGTTAAAAGAGCAGGGATTCTCTCCTAGACAATGAAGAAAAGAACAAGAGAAACGCTCATTACTCAGATTCTGTTAAAAATGAGAAATCTTATCTCTCCCGTGCAGTATTAACTTTTAGTGTTGCATTTAAATAATTACAAAGGACACTAACATATTACACCCCAAGACACGAACATTTCAAAATCTATTAGGTCAAATGCTATAATATTAAATATAAATACTACATATATTTTTTCAAATTAGTTGAGTGAGAACAGCCCTAGAACTTAATATTAAACATTATTATTTTGGACTATTTATACTTAGATTGTCCTAAAATATGACCTGTAATTTACTATGTCAAACCACCCAAGATTTTTAGATGTTAAAATAATTGAGAAGACAACAGCTATAACTTACATATCATAAAGAATACGCAGGGAAGATTTCTGCTTGCAGTTGGACATGAAGTGGTTTGTGGCTAATCAACCTCATGACCCAAAACAACTAGAAAACCACAGAAAAACCAAAGCACTCTCCAAAGTCCTTATGCTCCTGTGGTGACTTGGCTTTGTGGGCTACAAGGTCTCCCTCAGAGTACTCTGCTCTGAGCTGGTGGCAGGAACACAGCCAGACAAAGTGCGGAAGTTGGTGAGTTCCAACCCCCACCGTAACTCTGTGTGCAAGCAGGCATGGGCCTCCTGCTGAATCCAGTGAGCACAGACTGGACCTCAAGCTTTATGGAAAAGGTCTTTCAGCCCTAAAGATCATTTGGACTCCAGTGCAAATAACTTGTTTACCAATATTTATCATCATTGTTAAAACTGATAAGTACCTAAGCATGATTCATTTAAAAATAATGTAAATTCATTATCCGTTATTAAGACTTTTACATGTTTTTACTTTTTAATGAAAAGTAACCATACTTTGCAAACCAAGAGCGTGTGGCTGTTTCAGATGGATTCCCACCTGCACCCGTACTACATTCTGCTGCAGTCTGCTGTCTGAACCTAACATGTGAGCAGATCAGAGCGTTTCACAGCCCTGCAGATCCCAGGGATACTCTTCACCGACACCACACCTAACCACCCATCATTGTAGTGCAGAACCCAGAGCCTGCCAACAGCCTTCCCACGCCCTGTCCTACTCAGGACCCTCCCAAAGGATAGTCTGCTTCCATATAACTTGAACCTCGTGGAGCCAAGGGTTCTGGGACCACACTTTGACAACTGTGGTTTAGATGTGGGAAAGGGTCCTCAAAGGAGGGGACAGTGGGGAATGCAGGGCACATTCTCATTGTCCTACAGGGGGTTCTTGCACCAGGCGGGACACTGCCAGGTTCATCAAAGCACAGGACAGCCCCACACTAAGGATCAGGACCCAAATGCCAACAGCACCAAGGTGGTGGTGGCCTGGTTGGGAGGAGACAGACCTGGGCAGAGGACCACAAGGAAAAGCACAACACTAACTGACTTGCAGCAGGCTCGGAGGGCTAGGACAGCCAGCCCTGGAGGGGCACCTGTCCTAGGAGTAAGGACGCCCCACACTCTCCTTACTCCTCAGCCAGGTCCTCCACCACCCAGGTCAAGAAGCTTGGGAGGCGTCCTGTGCAATGCACACCTCAGATTCCCAGCACACAGAGAGGGCACAGGGGGCACAGCAAAGCTCCCACAGATTGCTACCAAACCTTGAGACAGCTGACCCAACCATACAGCCAGCAACCTGACCTGGCTCCTCAAACAGTGAACTGATTCAGGAGCAAACATGATCATCCACGGCTCGAGTTGTTCACACACCAAGAGGGGTGTCTCATCTCAAGGCCGGGAGCACAGCAATCAATAAACAGAGGTGAAGAGAAGAAGGCAGACTCTCAAATGAGCACAAGTACCATGAGACTGCGGGTAAAGTAACAGTATCCGCATGTTTGGGAAACAGATTGAAGAGGACGAGTTTTGCCATAAAACTACATACATTAAAAAAAAAAAAAAAATCAAGCAAAACTTAGTCAATAAAGTAATATGCTAAGAGATCAGAGAACATTTACACAGAACTTGAAAATAGCAGAAGGATTAGTGTATCAGAAAACAGGGCAACAGTAAATTCACACTGGGAACAGAGTAAAAAGCATGGGAAACAGAAAAGAGCATAAGAAATTTATGTTCAATATATACAGAAGCTGCTCTCAGAAGAAAGGAGAAAGAGAAGTGCAATATGAACATAGCCCAGAATTTTCCAAACCCGATGAAAACCATGAGGCCACAGTTCAGGAGGCCAACACTGCCTCTCACCGAGAAGCTGCCACTGAACACACTGAGGCTCAGGTAGCCAGAGAATGGCAGCAGTTTCGAAAGAATAAGACAACTGACAAGATAGACTCTTTCAAATAACTGAGGCAGAAATATTATCAATCTCTACTAACTTTTTTTAAAGGAACAACCCCAGTGTGTTTCATGAAGATGCACAACTCTGACAGGGCACAGGATCATGAGCCACAGACCATCAGAACCACATGGCGTGTGCACTGCCACCCATGGCGGCACTGTCTGTAGCGGCCCTCAACTGGAAACCGCGTGTCCAGCAAGAACAAAACAAGAGCATGAGCCACGAGATGATGCAGCAGCCAGAAACAGCAGTGAACTGCTGTGAAAGCAGCGCTACTGAGACTCTCAGTGAACAAAGCTAATAGAAAAGAGCAAACAAGCACTGAGCCCTGCCCCTCCACAGTGGTAAACAGGACAAATTCAAGGCTATCTCTTCTGGAGTGGCAAGGGCTGCTAAGGGACTTCAGAGCTGCACCGAAGTTTACTAGAAAAAGGAAAGAACAGACAATGAAAATCTCCACCTAACCAACCAGACCTCGAGCTCACAGCTCAAGGGACTAACCGCAGGAGTTGGAAATGAGAACGCTAAGACAATGTCATTTATTAAACCCAGGCTGAAAGAACTAGAAATATTAAGATTTTAAGGAATGTATTAGAAGAGTTATCACACAAATTGTGACAATTAATAAAGAACCCGTAAACACAAAGATCTGATGTGATACTGATCTGTAAAATACTTTACTTTGAAATTTAAAAAGGTAAAAACAATATTGAGATTTTTATAAAAGCAGTAAGAGCAACAAGAAAAGCAGTAACTAGATTCTGCGAAAACCCTACTTACAAAGCTGGTAATTAAAATTAGTCTTGAAACAGTTCCTAGTTTTGCTTTTTTAAGTCATATGTATTTAAAGTACTCTATCTGCATCCATATTTATTATATATTTAGTGTACAAAAATTCAACCTTAAAATCAGATTGCTCATAATTCTGAAGGCTTAGGAAAAACAAATTTATATCCTGGGACAAGGATATAGCTCAGTGGCAGAGCACCTGCCTGGCAAGTGTACGGTCCTGAGTTTGAGTCTTGGTACTCAAAAAAAGCAATGGCAAGCAAAAATTGGCACTGTACCCACCCAAGAGCCTCAAGCTATATGAATATCTGATTCAAAAATGTTTAATTTCTACTCAATGAAAATTCCACTTAAGAATAGGTTAAGTCCTTAAGTACTTCATTTAAATGAATAACAGTCAGAAACAACTGCATCTTCTGATTTATGACACCAGTGCAAAGCTATCTTCATTTGAAATTGGAGGGTTTGTTACTACTTCAATAAACTTCAAGCATAAGTACAGCATGACTGTAATTAGCTGTCCATAGTATCACCAATATTACCCTATATTTCTAAAGCTTTTCACAACTGCCAAGGTTTTTTGAACATACTATGCAACTTCCTTCTAGCAAGAATTTTAATATAAGCAGAGGAGTTCTCATGCCTACATGTCTGTTTAACAATTTGTAATAGAATGGAGACCAAAGCTAGGTCTAGGCCCTGGCTAGGGATCTCACTGTGAATTACATAATTTCAGCCAGTCTTTCTGAACTGCACATGTAGGTACTTAGTTCCCCCAATAAACATAAAGGCTGGGTCAGTCTCTCACAACCTTTTAAGTTATGGGACTTTAAGTAGTAGAAATTAAGATCTCTTCTACCTGTCTTGCTTTATGGTCTGTACTAATGCCATGATTTCTTAGACAGCTCACAGCTCTTGGGTCTGGAGCCCGGCCCACGTTCCAGTCGGAAACAGCACCGCTGTCAATGGCCCACTGTAACACAAAACACAGGTCAAATTCAAGTACGGTACCTGCCGGGCAATGTGATTCATAGGGATGTCATGCTTCTTCATGCAACTCTGCCCTCGATAGTCAGGGGGGTTTCCCACTTCATATGTAGATGTGGCTGCACTGTCTATCCTCCACTGCAGGAGAAGAAAAAGAAGGTTTTTCCGGCACTTTCCTGCCCAAAGGTGTGTAAGGTGGCCTCTTTAACATAGTGAATAGTACTTACGTTATCGGAAATGTTTTGATCAGTTACAAGTTTTCTGAACACTGCTTCTGCTATGGGTGACCGGCAAATGTTACCTTAAAGAGAAGGGAGAGGGCATAGAGTGTTAGCTGTATGGAAAGGCAGAGCCAACTGCCAGCATGGAAAATCATGGAACCACCTCTTGCACTTGACTAGTGGTGGCTGTCTTCCTTGGGAAAGGCAAAGGCCAATGCGGTGGAACAGAGTGGACCTGGAAAGGACAGCCAACCTAACCCAAGTTCAGTGATCGGACACCAGCTGTCCAGATACAAGAAGTGCTGCCAATCAATCAATTAATCAATCAATCAATCAAAACTGGCCTGCAAATGTCACCAAAGCTCCCTCAGAGCCAGGCTAGCCAGAGCCCAGGTCAGAGTGGCCTTCTTCAGAGCTGTCTTACAGAGCAAAAGGCTTTCTTCTCTTGTCCAGTAGCCCAGCCACTGACAAACCTGGTGCTTCTTGTCACATCAGTCTCCAAGTCCAAATGAATGCTCCAAAGGAATAAAACATTTACATTTCAAAACATACAGCTCCAACAGTCCTCCGGGTGGACTACCACAGAAAAAGCATCCACCCTCCTCTCAGCTCTCCCCCAAACCAGCAACTCCTTCATTCTAATCTCAACACGACAGCTGGAACCAGTGACATCCCTTCCCCACTCTGCCATAAACCTGCAAGGGCTTATCTCAGACCAAGCCTGTCCTCATGTGGCCTCCCAAGATTGGGCCCCAAACAGGGGCCCCAAAAGGAAGGTTCTTGAGCTGCTATTTTTGCACACAGCTTGAAGAGCTCAGAGTAATTCTGTATGGTTCTAAATAGTTGAAAACTGAGCAAAAACTGAAAATCATGTGATACAGCAATATTACATAGAGCTCCAACGTTGGTGTCTATGGACAAAGTTCTCCAGGAACACAGCCAAGCACCATCATTTATGTGCTGTCTGAGGCTATGTTATTGGTTCTGCCCACAAAACGAAGTATTTGCTCTGGTTTGCTTGTTTGTTTTGGAGACAGGGTCTCACTATGTAGTTCAGGCTGGCCTGGAACTCTCTGTGTAGCCCAAGCTGGTCTCAAACACACAGTGATCCTCCTGCCTTAGCCTCCTGAGTGCTGGGATCACAGGTGTACACCACCACACCTGACTAAAGTATTCACTCTGGTTCTTTACAGTTCACAGATCCCAGCATGTAGCATCCATTGAGGGCAAGAAAACTACCTCCTCTCCACACATCCAGAATGCCACAGGTTAGGTTTCCATGGGAGCTGGAGAAATAGTCACTCAAATCATGTGTGGAGTCCTCAGAACAGAGAATGCCTGGTCTCAGCATGCCCACCTGGCTTCCTGTTCTAGAATATGGCTGGCACTCACCTCTAAACTGTGCCTGTTGTCCTGTAGCCTGAGAATGGCTTCCCTGCTGACTCCTTCATGTCTGTGCTCACAGGTCACCTTTGGGCAAAGCCTTCCTTATGACACACCAACTCCCACCCTGTCTCATTTTCAACACTTTACACCAGCTGAACTCACACACTGGCGCTGCCTGACTGATGACTTCAAGGACATGTGCTCCAGAAAGGCTAGGGCTTTGTCCCTGGAGTCACTACTCTATGCATTCCCAGTGCCTGCCACATAGCAGGTGCTCAAAGAAACTGCTGAACTATATTGAAGATAAATATATGCGAGCATACATTTCCCCAGAAACAACCAGTGTGGTTCATGTTAGCATCATCAACAATAGAAAGAAAAAATAAACATGTCAGTGGGGTATTAAGTATTCAACTTGAAATGCATGTTTAATAAATGTGCTAACTGCACCAGTTAGCATCAACCAACACCTTAAAAATCATGATACACACTATCAACACAAAATAAGATGAGACTTGTACTTTTTCCTCTTCATAGACATTAATTTCTACAAATAACTACTGAACATCATACACTATTGCCCTGAAAATGAAAGAAGGAAGGAAGAAAGGAAGGGAGGGAGGGAGGGAGGAAGGAAGGAAGGAAGGAAGGAAAGAAAGAAAGAAAGAATGAATGAATGAAAGAAAAAGAAGCTACCGTTATTACCTACAAGAAAGAAAGAAAGAAAGAAAAAGAAGCCACCGTTATTACCTACAAGAAAGTTACATCTCACTGGAATTTCAGCAGCCTGTCAATTTATGGAATAAAATCTCTTTGGAAGCAGTCAAAGGAAGCAACTAATGGTCTGGAAAAGCCAAAAAGGAAGAACCTGGATTGACTTTATAAAGCACAATGCATTATGGATGTCCACTAAAAGCTGGCCACACAGCTGAGGCACAGTAAGCCTCTCTCATGTGGGCCAGCAAGGGGATCAGGAAGGCAGCAACTACACATGGGTGAGAAAAGGTAAGGAAAGTACTAGGCGAGTTCTATCCCAAGAAAAATAAAAGCTTTTACTCTGTACGAAATGCAAACTCGGCAGAAGACTAAATAATTGGATCAGTGATACTTTTGTTTTCTCCCCTAAAGGTAGAAACGCTAAGGATGGACCCTAAAAACTACAGGAATAGTGGATTCTACTTCGAGTGGGAGGGGGGACCCTAAGTGTTGCAATTCTAAGAATAAAAATGATTCTGAGCAAGAATGTATGATTACTATTTTTTTAAAATCCACTTTTAAAGCGGAGAAACTGAGAAATTGACACATGGGCTGGAAACCAACGTTACCGAGAGACTAGGAGAACCAGGAACCTGGAAGGGAGCACTCCACCTCCCATTAGCTGACACACCCTGCTACGCGCGAGCCGAGCACAGCAGCAAGCACATCAGGGTGGTTACTGGCTCGGAAGCGCAGCCCTGAACAGATGATACTGACCCAGCAGCCTTGGGTTCAAGTGGGCATGGGGGGCAAGCAGGGACTCCAGCAAGTACAATGAAAGGACTCGGCTTGGACAAGGGGTGGGCGGTAGGTGAGGAAGACATGGATGTGGAGGCGGTTGGCAGGGGAAGGGGATATGGGCCTGGGGGCGGGATGTTAGGTGACTGGGACTCAAGCTCGGGGAGGACAGGAGGTGAGGGACCCGGGCGCCAGGCCCACCCAAAGCCTCCTGCCCCAGCCTCCTCCATCTCCCCGTTCCTGACTAGCTGCACAGACCAGAGCGACTGTGGTCCATAGCAATGATCCCGGGAGGTTAACTCAGCCTCTTCTTACCCAGACACACGAACAGCACCGACTTCAGCCCGGACTCGGCCATGTTCCCGCGCGGTCACTGGCGCCCAGAGACTACGTCTGTGCGCATCCTGATGCAGCACATGCGCATTGCAAGCCTCCGGCCTCTGCGCCTGCGCAGTCGACGGCCTCTCGCCCGGCCTGAGGTGGAGTCCCCATTAGCTAAAAGAGGGGAGGAGCCGGAGTTGTCAGTCATTTGAAGAGCTGGGCGAGGCCTGAAGGGGTAGGGTGGTGACTTACTTCAGGCCGGACAGGGTAGGATTGCTCGGTTCTGAGTCTCCTCAGTGTAGGGCGGGGCTGGAGGGCGGGACCAAAGGGCGGGGCGGTGTCACCTGAGGCGGGGGGGGGGGCAGAGGGGGCGGGTACCGGGCAGGGCCGAAAGGGCGTGGTTATCACGGGTGGGCGTGGTTTTCGTGTCCCTGGGCGGGGTCGCGAGTCCCAGGCGTGGTGCGGCCGGAGCCCACCTGCTCTACTCACCTCAGCCAGGGATCGTGATCTCTGATGTATGCGGGGCAGCGTCGGCGGGGCGGGATCCCAGGCGGCGGGCGGGCTTTCCCGAGTTAGAAGTCGGGGTGTTTGAGACGCTTTGGAGGGGGCGAGGCGGCCGTGTTCTGCGAAGATGCGCAGGGCGGGTGCTGACCCAGGACAGGACCTGGGCGGACACTTGCTGCTCACCTGGTCAGGTGTGCAGCTGGCCGGCGCCCCGCCCCGGGAGGCGGGTCCGAGGCCTCCCTTCCTCTTCCTGGCAGGTGTGCGGCTCTGGCGGAGCAGCTGGGCGCCAGTGAGTACGGGGATCCGAGGGGTCGGGCGGGGGTCGGGACGCGCCGGGCCCCCCGGAGAGGAGGAGCGCACAAGGGCCGGGGACGCGATCGCGTCCACTGTGGGGCTCTGCAAGTCCACGCCGTATCGTTTCGCTGACTGTCAGAACCTGAAACTCCTACTTTTAGGACTGACCACAGCGCCTTGATTCCTAGGAGAACTCCCGCATTTCGAATTTCGATGGCTGAAATTCCTCTTATGTTTTCTAAAAACATTGACTCTTTGAACTATTTTTGGGCCACACACCGCTCGGAGTCCTGTGCGCTTGACAGAGTGGGCAGGGGGCGGGACCTTGCTCTTGCCAGGCAGGCGCTTGTGTCGCTGAGCTGTATCCCCGGCCCTGCATTGATTATTAACAGTGAGGAAATGGGATTTCCCTGCTGGCTGAAAACGTGTCAGTTTTACTTTCAAAAAATATTTGAGTGTGGTCACCACCCCTGCTCAAGCAGAGCTATTCTGTCAGCAAGGGGTGAATGGTCAAAAATAGTCTGTCCGGGAGAGCAGACAGGCCTTCCTTTGCTTACACAGCTTACCTGTCCTGCATTATTGCTCACCTAGATGTTTCAGCGAGGAGAGGAAATGTTTGGATTAATCATGAGTTACTCAGGAAATCTGCACACAGAGCTCAGAGAATAACAGGTCTCTGGTTAAGGTGCTGTTTAGCCACCGGGCTGGCCTGTTATTGAAATGCTTAAGCTGTGTCGGGTTGTTTGGGAATTACTATGTTGGTGGTTAGAATAATCACGAGTGATGACCTACATCCTGTTTACATCGCATTTTAAAGAGAATTGGATATTAATTTACTGATGTGCGATCTAAACTGATTTCTCTAAGATAAAGCCATAGTACCACTCTTTGTTTGTCTAGAATGATTTGGCACTTTAATTCTGTTTAGGAAGTCTTTATTCTCAAGAGATATCTCGCTATTTGGAAATAAGGATTTGGTACTGCAAATTTAAAAAAAAAAAAAAAAGCTGATAGAGTAGAAGGTAACTGTTGTGCCCTGTGGCTGCTAAATGGTGGTCACTGGCTTATTTCCAATATTTCCTCTGCCATTTAAGACCTAACCATATTGAATATTTGTATTTTCTCTGGTAAGAGTCTGGTTTTTAGGCTGGTTGGACCAGAGTGGCCTGTGTGGTCATGCCCTGAGGCAAGATCTCACCTGAGCTGGGGAGAATGGGGGAGCAGGTGTCAGCCTGGGGTGAAACAAAAAGAAATACAGACCACAAGAATGTTAGTGTTCCCAGGGCCAGTGTGGGTGAGAGTTTGAATGAGTTAGATTAATGATCTGACCAGGGATACTGGCTCTGATTTCTAGAACCCACAGGATCTGACTCCTTAAAACAAAGGAAGTGAACCAACGCCCTCTGAGCAACAGAGCTCATAGCTGCCAGGCAGCAGTTTTCAAAGCTGTGCTTATTGAGAAAGGCAACTTTGCAAGCCTCCTGAGAGATTCAATAAAGTTTCTTTTGTTTTGGTGAAGATTTAAACAACTTGTTCTAAGTATGGTGTATCTTTAGCATTCTACTGTCTTTGATCTTGGATGAGATTTTATCATTTTAGCAAATTAACCTCCATTTCATGTGAATTGTAAAGTGTAATAGTTTGATCAATATGTGATTAACAGAACTTTGGAAAACCATGTCTAAGCATACTTTTCCTATAGATTCCCTTTTCATAATTTAGCACCTGTGGAAGAAAACCATATAATGTGTGCTTATTGATGGAAGGAAAGTTTTAGTATCCTTAACTCTGGGTAGAGGTAGGAGGGGACCTCTCGACTGCTGGGCATTGCTCCTGACCTTGGTGGACATGGAGACTGCCTACATGCTGCAGCTCAGCATTCTTACCTCTTGGCAATTCGTTCCAAGTAGGATTCAAATGTCATTGTTTGACCCCAGTGATCCTAGCCCTGAGCTTTTGACCTGTGGTCAATATGGAGTATTATTTTCAAATCTGAAACTCAAGTAAGCTCTTGAGGTTTTCAACAGTAAAAGATTTTTTCCCAATATTTCAGAAACTGTTCTTAATTTTTTAAACAAAGTTTTAGTATATATGTAAGAAATTTCAAATATTTTAAATGCCTTTTAAAGAATACATGTGAGAGTTTCTTAGCTAGAAGTTTAGTAGCCACTTTTTTTTCTAGGAAGAGACTCAAATATTTATTGACAGTTTGCTTTCAATAATTTGCTCAGAATGCAAGAGAGTTAAGACTCTATGAGCGACGTGAGGTTTAGAGGGTGGCACCGTCTTCAGCAGGGTGAAGATGAGACTGCACCCGCTAGTTGGGACTGTGCTCTGCATCTCTTATGGCGCAGTAGTGGGAAAGTGGGTGAGCAGTGATTTGAAGCCAAGGACAGGACATGAAGCTTATTTCTTAATTTTTTATCTCTCTATTATTATTCTGACAAACTCACTGTATGGAACTGTGAGCAGGCAATATGGTTTTATGGGAAGTTTAATAGCATCCCTGGTACCCTCTGGAGTTCACCTCATCCTAACCAGGCTTCTCAGCAGGCACCATCCGAGGTGGCACTGTCAGCTGGGAAAACTCTGTCCACCAGTGCGTGAGTCAGGAGCTTTCCCACCCACATTCATAGCATGACCGTGACCTTCCCCTGGCCAGGCTGTTTGCCCAGCAACTCTTAACTGTGGAATTTCTTTGTATGACTGGTCTAACGTGACTCTCTTTAACTGAGAGTTCTAAGTAGAAAGTCTTTGTGGATACAATCTCTGTTTTGTTTTCTCTGTTTCAGTCGTGTGTGGCAGAGAATCTGGTCTAAGGTGGCTTTAACAGAAAAGGATTTTCCTGATTCAAGTGATTTAAAACCAGAGCTGGTTTGAGTTCAGGGTAACCCTGCAGTGCTCTGCTTCTCTCTCTACCCTGCCTGATGTGTCTGGTGCTCTCGGAATGCTCTGTGGAGACAAATTTAGCTGCCAAGTGCCTTGATGAGGCTCATCCCAATATCACAGATGTGGTCACTGCCTCCTCACCCCATGCTGTGACCACAGTGCTTCCTAAATAGAGTGGATGCCCAGCAGAAGAATGGGCATATTTTGACTGCAGCTAACTGACCCACCTCAGCATGCTTTATGATCTGTGAGCCAGGTGGTCTCGAGGACATGGTGAGAAGTGAAAAGCACAGTTCTGGCCTGTAGGGGTGCAAGGCTGAGGGTTGCAAGGGTGAGTGCCAAGGAAGAAACGAAAGAAGACAGAGGTGCATGTCTGAGTCTCAAACTGTCACCAGCTAGGGAGGGTCCTTGTTTCAATGATAACAGAAATTAAAATTGAGGCCTCAGCAACAGCTTTCAATGGAAAGTAAGAGAAAGGGAAGGAAGGTCAGCTTGAGGAGCTGAAAGGTCCTAGCTGCAATGAAGAGCAGACTGCCCATAATGAAGGACTGGGCTTGGCTCTTAAGGGGTGCTGAGGTGGGGTTGATCAGGTTCTCAGTCCTAGTTTCACAGCTCCAAAGAGACCCTATGGCTTGAGGGGCAGTTCGGTTCCCTGGAGCTGTTTTCTTCTGTTTGGAGCTCTTGGCTTTGCAGAGGCTCTGCTGGAATCTAGGGTGACTACAGACTTAGGGTAATGAGGAGATGTTTTTAGGTAGTGAAAGCTGATAGTTGAATAGGCCTGTAAAGCCTCTTGGTGTCCGCCTTAAAGGAGGACAAGACATGTTAGGTAAATTTAGGGCTATTGAGCCTTATAGTGGCCCTTTTAGGCTCCCTGCATGCACAGATGCCAAGTTTATCCTGCTTGTTTAGCCCTTGGGCATCTGCGGACATAAGTGAAGAGTCACTGTTTTTAGCAAAGTTAACTGTAAGTCCCTGACTGCCTCAGAAGAAAACATTTGCTATTAGACTTTCATGAATAACAGGTACAGGGCCCGGGAGTCCCTCTGTGATGATCCCTAAGTTTTGTTTTCTCATCTAGTTTACTGGAAACAGTGTGGGCAGAGGCATCCTGGCTTCAGTGAAGGTTCGGGGTTTTGGTCTAGAACTGTGAGGAAGGAAAGGATACTTACCGTATCTTTCATGAATCTTGGGTCTTGAGTTAAAGCCCAGGAGAACTCCTGAGCTTTGTCCTGGAGTTCTCTGAGCCCTGTCTCAGTATCACAAACCTGACTGCCGAGCGTACACAGTGTCCTGAGCCCTCGTTTTCTCTCAAGCCTGACACCTCCAGCCCTGGAGGCAGGCGGGTTTCAGGTGGGTTGACACAAGCATGTGCTGTCCTCAATGCCCACCGGGATGGACTTGCACTGTTCTCATAGTCATTAAACCTAAGGACACCACCAAGCA